AGCAGCTGGGCAATAAAAGTAATGTTTAAAGTGCATACCTTTAAATTTTGTACAATCTTATATATTAGAACATTTATTTCTTTTTGTAATCTGTTCAAATTTAGTCAGAATGCAAAAAGGTAAAATAAATTTGGCATGAACTCAATACCATTTGAGGTGATCTGATGCTACCCAGAGAGACTGTTTCACACATGTGACATTTATATGAGATGAGTAATAGGAGTCTCTCTATGTAATATTCAGCAATGGGTGGTTGTTCATGCAAAATCAACCTGCTTGTATTTAAGGTGCCACAAGACTTTGATGTTCTCACATGTCTCTCTTACAGTTATAAGTGGTATAGTCCAGCAACATACACCTCTTGGAAGGTTACTGATTGTGTAGTTTGGCTCTAAGTCTAACTTTAATAATAATGAGATGGAATTTTACTGTTATTTGCTGGGTAATAGGGCTGGTTTTGATACTTTTCTCATCTGGTCACTTAGGCTATAAATAATTTATGTATTTTTAAGTAAATAAATCCATTGGACAGTCAGTCTCACATTTTGACCATTTCTTGAATCCTCACATCACCTTCCTTTTTGAAAATGTGCAATTACAATGTCTAGAAAAATAGGTGTTTCGTGGTACGACATCTCATTCATGACATTTTATGAGGCTGGTAACTGCCTTAAAAGGTCTGTGCAAGACAATTAGAATCTGTGCAAGTTCCTGCAAACAATTTTTGTGTTTTGCATCCAAATTTAAAAAAAAATAGGGATGCAAAACACAAGTTGTACGTGAAGCTTAAAAATTTTAATACTTCTTTTAGGAATATAAAATCTCTGCTAGAATGACATGTTTACAAATGATGTAGAGGAGGGATGGGCAATTTTCTTAGAATTAACTCAACTCCTTCTCCCCCCCTCCCCAAATGTCAAGGATTGCACCTTGCTGCTCCCACAATACTAAATTTCAATGGCACGGCAGTGGCAGAAAACCCTGTTTTTCTCCAAAACTAGGTGAATAAGGGACCATGTACTTTGCTTTTTCAAGGAAATTCCAGGAAATTCACTCAGTTTTCAAAGAAAATTATGGCTACAGCTGCAGTGCAGAAATTCAGCAAGTTTGCACCAAATTTGGCAGAGTATCAGGGGCCTCAAAGACAGATTAGGGGTGTGTGTGGCCTTGAACCCATGAATTGCCCATCCCTGATGTGGAGAATCATTTGCTGGGAGGCGGGGACATAAAGTAGGGGATTCTAATCAGAATTTAATCCTTTCCTTTTTCATAAACTGGATAATATTACATAATTATGTCCCAACTTCTATCTATAAGGAATAATGGGACAGTGGAAAACTACTTCATAGAATTGTTGTGAGAAGCAAATTACATATAATTACATATTACTCCACACATAATGAATGCTGCCTAATCATCTTAATAATCCAGATCTGCAGATGCCTGGCAATGCAGTCCAAACCCACCAGCTGTATTGGGTCTGGAACGGGCAGCAGCCTCTTGTGCCAGCACATTTGACCTCGTATTGGCACAACCTCCCTTTATGCTGGCTGATCTTAGGGCTGCCAATGCAAGACTGGCAGAACCGCTGTGCTGGCTGATCTCAGAAGAACCAAAAAAGGAGGCAGAGAAGGAAAGCAATGAGGGAGGTGCTGGGTTACAACAGATCCAGAGCCTTCTCAGCCCAGTCACTATGCTGAAACAAGGTTAAGTCAGGATAGTCACAAGTAACTGGCAACACCCATAGGCTGTGAGGGGCTGGGATTCTGTAGGGCCTCAGCTGGGCTAGTCTCAGCTCAGCTTGA